TACATGTATATTTCATGTAAAAAAATTTTTTGTTTTAATACTTCTGGGTGTCAGGAACGGATTAATTGTATTTACATTATTTCTTATGGGGAAAATTGATTCGCAAATCGTAAATTTCATTTATAGTAGCTCCTCCAGGAACGGATTAATTACGAAAAACGAGGGACCACTGTATGTTCATTCACTGGATGAGTGGCACTAATTAAAATTCAAAACTATTATGATGGTATATTCACTCAAGAATAGTGGGACTGCCCAGGCCAGTATAGTAATTCCAGCTCCTGAAAGGAAACATCTGAAGCTGCCATAACTACTCTGGACGGAGGAATTCTTGACAATTTTAAAGTCTTGGCTTTTGCTGACAGATTTCATTACATGAAACTTGATAATGAAGAATGCTTTGTTAGGATTATTAACTCTTAATTAAAAGTTAGTAACCCAATGACACTAGTATGGCTTAATTCTTTTGTGACTTTTTCTCAGAGCACCACCCACAAGTTGTAAACCATACCACGGGCAGGATTGAACCCGCGGTCAGAGAGTCTCAAAACTCCAGACCACGGGTTCAATCCCGCCCGTGGTATGGTTTGTTTACAATCGTGTCATTACGATTTCGTGAGTCATGTTCACAAGTTGTAACTATGTACTGTAATAAAGTTGGTAGAATTACCGACAATATGTAAAGTAAAAGGACACAAGTGCAACTAATGTGACATTTTATTGTGGCAACGTTTTGCTCTCCAGGAGCTTTATCAAGCCATTACAAACAATACATGGACACAGAGGGTATATAAAGGCTCAGAGTGAGGTGCAATACTAGTTGCACTTGTGTCCTTCTACTTTACAACTATGTACTGTTAAGTGAACAAACAAAAGGTGTAAGAAAAGCCCAAGATTATCATCCCAGGATTAAACCCGAGTCCTTAAGTTGTGACTTGAAGGCACTACCACTGAGCTGAGCAATTTATTTAGTGTGATTAGCATGTATATAGCATAAAAGATAAGGTTTTGTTTAGATTTTTAACCTTGAAAGGTTAGCCACCCATGATAACCCAAGAAAGTCAGTGTGTCATCAAGGCCTGTCTGTCTTATTTCCATTGTGATCCTTAAATTTTGTCCCCCAGGATGGTACCCACACAAGTCGACTAACATCCAGGTACCCACTTGCTAGGTAAACGGGACAGGAGGTGTAAGGAAACATGCCCAATGTTTTCACCCGTGTCGGGGATCGAACCACGGACACTGTGTGTGAGGCAAGAGTGTTGCCTACCAGGGCCATGGGACACCATGTAAATGGGATTAGGTCAGGGGTTTCAAATAGAGTTAGAGCTAAAGAAGGAGTAGCAATAATGTTGAAGGATAAGCTATGGCAGGAAAAGAGGGAGTATAAATGTATTAATTCAAGGATTATGTGGAGTAAAATAAAGGTTGGATGTAAAAAGTGGGTTATAGTAAGCATATATCCACCTGGAGAAGAGAGAAGTGTAGAGGAGAGAGAGAGAGAGGGTGTAGTAGGTAAATTTGGGGTGCCAGGGGTAAATGAGATTTGGGAGCCTTTACTTGAGCTATGTGTAGAAAGAGGTTTGGTAATAAGTAATATGTACATATTTTATGAAAGAGAGGATAAATAAATATACAAGGTATGATATAGCACATAATGAAAATAGTTTGTTAGATTATATTTTGGTGGATGAAAGGTTGATGGGTAGGCTTCATGATGTACATGTTTATAGAGGGGCAACTGATATATCAGATCATTATTTAGTTGTAGCTACAGTTAAGAGTAAGAGGTAGATGTGACAAAAGGAAAATGGCAACAACAAGAGGGAGGTGAAAGTGTATAAACTAAGGGAGGAGGAAGTTCGGGTGAGATATAAGTAACTATTGGCAGCAAGGTGGGCTAGTGCAAGTATGAGTAGTGGGGGGGTTGAAGAGGGTTGGAATAGTTTTAAAAATGCAGTATTAGAGTGTGGGGCAGAAACCTGTGGCTGTAGGAGGGTGGGTGCAGGAGGAAAGAGGAGTGATTGGTGGAATGATGAAGTAAAGGGTGTGATAAAAGAGAAAAGGGTAGCTTATGGGAGGTTTTTACAAAGCAGAAGTTTTATAAGAAGAGCAGAGTATATGAAGAGTAAAAGAAAGGTGAAGAGAGTGGTGAGAGAGTGCAAAAGGAGAGCAGATGATAGAGTGGGAGAGGCACTGTCAAGAAATTTTGATGAAAATAAGAAAAAAATTGGAATGAGATAAACAAGTTAAGAAAGCCTAGGGAACGAATGGATTTGTCAGTTAAAAATAGAGTAGGGGAGTTAGTAGATGAGGAGATGGAGGTATTGGGTAGATTGCGGGAATATTTTGAGGAACCTTTAAATGTCGACGAGGAAAGGGAGGTGGTAATTTCATGCATTAGCCAGGGAGGTATACCATCTTTTAGGAATGAAGAAGAGCAGGATGAGAGTGTGGGGGAGGTGCGTGAGGCATTACGTAGAATGAAAGGGGGTAAAGCAGCTGGAACTGACGAGATCATTACAGAAATGTTAAAAGAAGGGGGGTATATAGTGTTGGAGTGGTTGGTATTTTTGCTTAATAAATGTATGAAAGAGGGGAAGGTACCTAGGGATTGGCAGAAAGCATGTATAATTCCTTTATATAAAGGGAAGGGGGACAGAAGAGATTGTAAAAATTATAGAGGAATAAGTTTACCGAGTATACCAGGAAAAGTGTACGGTAGGGTTATTATTAAAAGAATTAGAGGTAAGACAGAATGTAGGATTGAGGATGAGCAAGGAGGTTTTAGAGTGGGTAGGGGATGTGTAGATCAAGTGTTTACATTGAAGCATATATGTGAACAGTATTTAGATAAAGGTAGGGAAATTTTCATTGCATTTATGGATTTAGAAAAGGCATATGATAGAGTTGATAAGGGAGCAATGTGGCAGATGTTATAAGTACAGTATATGGAATAGGTAGTAAGTTACTAAATGCTGTAAAGAGTTTTTATGAGGATAGTGAGGCTCAGGTTAGGGTGTGTAGAAGAGAGGGAGAATACTTCCTGGTAAAACTAGGTTTTAGACAGGGATGTGTAATGTCACCATGGTTGTTTAATATATTTATAGATGGGGTTGTAAAAGAAGTAAATGCTAGGGTGTTGTGGAGAAGGGTGGGATTAAATTATGGGGAATCAAATACAAAATGGGAATTGACACAGTTACTTTTTGCTGATGATACTGTGCTTATGGGAGATTCTAAAGAAAAGTTGCAAAGGTTAGTGAACGAGTTTGGGAATGTGTGTAAAGGTAGAAAGTTGAAAGTGAACATAAAAGGAGTAAGGTGATGAGGGTATCAAATGATTTAGATAAAGAAAAATTGGATATCAAATTGGAGAGGAGTAGTATGGAAGAAGTGAATGTTTTCAGATATTTAGGAGTTGACATGTCAGCAGATGGATTTATGAAGGATGAGGTTAACCATAGAATTGATGAAGGAAAAAAGGTGATTGGTGCATTGAGGTATATGTGGAGACAAAAACATTATTTATGGAGGCAAAGAAGGGAATGTATGAAAGTATAGTGGTACCAACACTCTTATATGGGTGTGAAGCTTGGGTTGTAAATGCTGCGGCGAGGAGGCGGTGGAGGTGTCCTGTCTAAGGGCAATGTGTGGTGTAAATATTATGCAGAGAATTCGGAGTGTGGAAATTAGGAGAAGGTGTGGAGTTAATAAAAGTATTGTGTGTGTATTAGTTAGGCTGAAGAGGGGTTGTTGAGGTGGTTTGATCATTTAGAGAGAATGGATCAAAGTAGAATGACATGGAGAGTGTATAAATCTGTAGGGGAAGGAGGGGTAGGGGTTGTCCGTGAAAAGGTTGGAGGGAGGGAGTAAAGAAGGTTTTGTGGGCGAGGGGCTTGGACTTCCAGCAAGCATGCGTGAGCGTTTTAGATAGGAGTGAATGGAGACGAGTGGTATTTGGGACCTAATGAGCTGTTGGAGTGTGAGCAGAGTAATATATAGGGAAGGGATTCAGGGAAACCAGTTATTTTTATATAGCCGGACTTGAGTCCTGGAAATGGGAAGTACAGTGTCTGCACTTTAAAGGAGGGGTTTGGGATATTAGCAGTTTGGAGGGATATGTTGTGTATCTTTATACATATATGCTTCTAAACTGTTGTGTTCTGAGCACCTCTGAAAAAACAGTGATTATGTGTGAGTGTGGTGAAAGTGTTGAATGATGATGAAAGTATTTTCTCTTTGGGGATTTTCTTTCTTTTTGGGTCACCCTGCCTCGGTGGGAGACGGCCGACTTGTTAAAAAAAAATTATATATATATATATATATATATATATATATATATATTATATATATAATATATATATATATATATATATATATATATATATATATATATATATATATATATATATATATATATATATATTGCATAATATACAATGTGTGATTTCAATGTTATAAAATATTGTTAAATACAAAGAAAGCCACTAATCTGGCTTTTTAATATTTAATGTATTTCAAAAAGTAAACTAAACTGAATAAATAATTAACTTATTAAGGGGAAGCTCTAAACTTGTAGGGATGGGGGTGAGAGACAATCGGGTACGATACAAGGATCATAGCATACGTAGAACAGTTTCACTATCTCCATCAAATGATCTTCAGAGTTGCTGCTGGAGTCTACCTGGAGAGTATTTCGGGGATCAACGCCCCCGCGGCCTGGTCCATGACCAGGCCTCCCGGTGGATCAAGGCTTGATCAACCAAGCTGTTACTGTTGTCCGCACGTAGTCCAGCGTCGGTGCCAGCCACGTCCCGGCTGGCTGGCACCGACTTGAGGTGTCTATGCAGCTCCCTCTTGAAGATAACCAGGGGTCTTTGTTTCATTTTGTTTAGTCTATTATCAGAAACAATCCGGATATTGAACACATAACGAAAAGTGGCAAAATATAGTTTTACGAATGACAAGATGATATAATGCTCCCAGTTTGAGTCCAA